CGACCCCGATCATGTTATCCCTCATTCAGATATTCAGGTTCAGTCAGGCCTTTCGTACGAGGAGCGACCGGTAGCTGTTCTGGACCGTCAGGTTCGTCGGCTTCGGAAGCGAGATATTCCCCTCGTGCGCATTCAGTGGGATCGCCACGGAGCTACTTGGGAGGAAGAGTCTGATATTCGCGCTCGTTTTCTAGATTTTCAGTTTTAATGTATTTTCATGTATGTATTTTCAGTTATGTTCTGAATTTCCGAGGACGGAAATTTTGTAAGGAGGGAGGATTGTAATATCCCGACTTTTATCAGTATAATAATATTTTAGTTCCGATGTTATTTTTCGGAATCAATCCTTTTCAGTTATTTCAGTCGAAATTACCGGAACTATTTTCGACGTACCGTTTACGTTCGAAATAATTTTGGTAACTTAGCATTATCTTTAATTAAGTAATTAAACATAATTAAGTGATTAATTTAACTTAATCACGAGATTAGCTTAATATTCGGATTTTATTCCGAGTTCATGTTCATAGCCGTGCGTTACTCGGACCTAAGTCATGGTGCATTGCCGTGCGCGCGTGTTCGTCCGAGAGTATCCGTGCAATGTGTGTATGAGTTGGTCAAGATTCTCCTTCCAAGTCCAATGTCGTGCGTTTAGTAGGGGACGGAGTGACCAAGGTGCTTTTGTCCCATTATTCATGAAGACCGTGCGCCATCTTTGGCATTTTGCTAACCTTGGTCCAAGATGCTTTCCAACATTTATCATGGAGTCCGTGCGCCCTCCTTGTCCTCTTGTGCCATGGGAGTTTGTGTTGGAGTGTAGTGCATTTTTGTCCCATTTTCTTCCTTGTTTCCTCCAATGCCGAACACATGCTTGAGGCAAGCTTCTTCCCCTTCATTTTGCTAGCATGTTCACGTGAGTCTTGCATGCTACTTTGGATTTTGGTGTGTGGTGTGCCATGTGTCCAAGCTTTAAGTGCATAAGTGTTTAGTGTCATGAGCCCTCACTTGTCAACTTTCGGCCCTTATGCTATAAGAGAGAGTTTGGAGATATTGTCCCATTTTCTTCACGCCTTAGTGCTAAGTTGCCGAGAGATATAGTAAGAGTGGTGAGAATTGTTGAGTGTTATTCTCGTTCACGCGTCCGAGAGCGCCGCACGCCGCAAGCCACCCGCACGGAAGTCCGAGAAGCATGCGCGCATCGCACACCATCGCACGGCATCGCACGCGGAGTTCCTCAAGGGTCACGCACGGGAGTTCGAGAGTTAGTCCCTAGGGCTTGCAAGAGGTAAGTTCCCTTCGAATATTGACCGAGAGTAGCATGTTCCTTAAGTTAATTTATGTTAAATTGACATGCATGCGTGTTAAGCCATAGCCGTGCCATTCATGATATATTTTAAGTTATTAATCCGAATCATGTTATGATTTTCATCGAATTCTCCGAACAATCTTGCATGCTAAATTTTTATGTGCAATATCATGCTTAAATTAGCCTTAATGTTCGGATGATATCTCACGTTTGAAATGTTCGGCCGAGGGTAACGTGGTTGCGCACGTAGCGCACCACGGGCCGTGCATACTTGCTCGTATATGTTAAGTTAGTTTTCTCCGACCATTCTCGTATATTTAGCCTTTATATGCAAAATCATGTTGAATTAAACTTAAGTGTTCGGATAAATTTAGTCATGTTAATGGGTTGGTCGAGGGAGTGTGGTCGCACACTTAGTGCGCACCACGGACCACCCGAGTGTTATTGCATGTCAAGTTTAAGCCTTAAACCATCATGTATTTTCATGTTCAGCTTGTAATGTTCAAGTTCAGTATATATTATGGCCGAGAGTTATATGGTTCGGTCGAGGAACGGCACAACGCCGTCGGCGGTGCACGGCGTGCCGCCGCGGCCTTAGTTCAAGCCTTCATGTGAATTTTCATGTTTTAAGCAATTATGTGTTTATATGTTCATGTCATGATATTTGAAGTCGTTTTGTTCGGTAAATATTGCCGGACGGCCGGCAAGGGCCGGCCGTGGCCGCGCTGTCCGCACGCAGC